AGATAAAAAATAAAATAAAATAAAAGGTTCTCACGTGTGTTACTATAATTGATCAGTTCAGTCACGCGTGGATCTCCGTACGGAGGCGGAGGCGGAGGCGGAGACGGCTAGCTGGCTAACTAGCTGGCTACCGTAGCTAACTACAGTAGGTAGGTAGGTAGGTAGGTACGGACGGACGTACCGGTCGGAGGACCTGCCTGCCTGCCCCTGCCTAGAATAAAGACCGGCTGACAGGCGCGAAACAATCATGTTTAGAAGGTAGGTTGGGGAGGGGGGTTTGGGATGGGATGGGATGGAAAGAAAAATGAAGAATAAGATGGAAATAAGATGGAAAGAGAAATGAGATGGAATGAGAAAATGAGATGGAAAATGGAAAAATGGAAAATGGAAAATGGAAAATGGAAAATGGAAAATGGAAAATGGAAAATGGAAAGAAAAAAAGGAAAAATAAGATGAAAAAAGGAAAAATAAGATGAAAAACATAAAATATGGAATAGACAATAGACAATGGAAAGTAGAATCAAAACTTACGCGGAGAGGTGCTTGTTGTGTTGGGTTTGGAGGGGTGATTTGGAGAGAGAGAGAGAATCTGGAGGGAGGGAGGGAGGGAGAAGAAGAAGGGGGAGAGGAGGAAAGGAGAGGAGAGAGTAGGAGAGGAGGAGAAGCTGCCCTGCCCATGATGCCCTGCAGTATTATTCCCCAGCTGCTTACTCCATCCATACCGTACCTTACCTACAGCAGGCACCGTCCAAGAATCATCACCACCATCATCATCATCAACAACACCACCCACCAGCTTACGTAGCAGTGATGTAAGAAGCAAGGTTCTCCATCTCAAGTATACACAGTACGTAGTATCTGGGGGAAACTATGAATGGAGGAAACCCCCAATCAACAACGACGGACGTACTACGTAGTACTACGCAACGACGAAAGATCGTCGTGAAAAGCCCCTTTTACTACGACGTGAGAAACCTTCTGCTCCTCCTCCGCCGCCGCCTCCTCCTCCTTCTGCAGCTCTCCCTTCTTGGACGTTTATAGTTGGTGTCGACGAGTGCAGGCTAAAGTCGCGCGGTTTCATACAGATTCACCACTAATATAACTTCGTCGTCAAAGCGTTCAGACCCCCCCCCCCCCCCCTGGCTCGGCGCCCTGCGACGTACGTACCTAGTAGTACGTAGTAGGTAGTAGTACTTGTTGGTAGGTGCTTAATACTTTACTTTACTTCCTCACCTCGAGGAATGTATTTTTAGGATGAGGACCGCCGGGTGCTCTTTGTCCAGAGATAGTAAAAACGTCACAGGTATTTTGAGCCTTCCTGGTTTCCAATCTTAGGGAGAGGGCGGCGGCGAAAACCCTAAACCTAAGGTACCTACTCACCTACCTACCTACCTACCTACCACCTGCCCTTAGCCATAATCGACCAGATTCTGGGAGCAAAAAGACTTTCGAGAAGGCTTTGGGATCCATACTTGGAGATTACCCTCCCAGACGAAGCCCCCTTTTCGCCTTTCAGTCTTGCGTTCGTTCTTTTATATCACCGTGCGCTATGGAGGCAAGCTGTCGGGTCTTCGCCGTCGCACGCTCCCACTCAGGCGCACGCTCGAGATGCACGGTTGCGGCGGCTCCTGTCGTTTTTCCCGCCATGAATGAAACAACCTAATGGGTTTGTTTGTTTGTTTGTTTGTTTGTTTGTTTCCAGTCCGCAGGCTGGCCTAGCGACGTGAAGAGGTAGGTGCCTTGAGGAATTCGAATTTGATTGAGGAAGTGAGGGAGAGGCTGTATTGACTCGCCAAGGGTTTGACAGATACTATAGGTAGTACGTATTTGGCTAGAAGTCGGGAGCCGGTAGTCGGTAATCGGTGCTCCAGTCGATCTAGCGGATCGATTGATCTCCGTATTGATAGCTCGAGGTAGTCTCGTCCCGGTAAGTCAGCTTCGTGGTGTGCCGTTGATGCCGTGTGCATAAGATCATTTCACAGTTGTGCGTATGAATCTGTGGTCTCCGTAATTGTAATTTGTCGGGTGCGTATCGTGCTAAGCCTCCAGCTCTTACTACGTACTTACTAGTATTTGCAGCATTGGCAGGGGTAAGGTCTTGATGGTCGCTCGTGACGCAGTGGATCAGGGACCAAGGCAGTCGGTATCAGTACCGTAGATAGGTAGGAAATGTTGGAGGTCGTCTTGCTCGGTGGCACGGAGGAGAAGTCGTGCCTTTATGTGACCGATGGGTCCTCGTTCATTTGTGTGTTCGTCTGCTGGGTTGTTGGTTGATACTGGGTGTCTGGGTGTCTGGGTATGGGTGTCTGTGTTTCTGAATGTATAAATGTAGATATGTATATATACATATATATATATATATACACACATATGTATACATATATACCTACACATAGGAGTATATACATATATATACACATATGGTATAGCGTGCCGTCCCAAGCCATGTGTTCCGTTTCGTCTATTGCGTCGGCACGTCGTCCGGAGTACAGATATGCTGGCTGCACGTCCGAGTGCCCGGGTGCAGACCGATGTAGGTACGTACGTAGTACGTACTACTACGGAGCGGATAGACGGTCGATTATTTCCCATGCCTCGAAGAAAGTGGAGTTGTATTTCCCATGCCTCAACCCACTTTTTGAGTGGGCCCGCCCAGCCAAATCTACTCGCTGCTTAACGCTACATTTAACGACCTCGGCTTCGGTATACTCGATTCTGATATAGATACAGATCTATTTAAGTAGCGCGCTCGTTACAACTACGACGTTCGAATTAAGGAAGCTACGGTATCGGTATAGTAAAGAAAACATATATGCTTTGATCGTGTTCTTTATATAAGACCGTTAGTTGCGCGGATAGCGTATCTTTTGGAATTGATTCTTAAGCTGATATCTATAACTAAAAACATATATATGTCTTCAATTCGCGATCAGGTTCAGCGCTATATCGAGATCCGTAAGCGATAAAATTGTATTTATTTATTTCTATTAATTTTTTCCAAAAATTTTAAATGTGAATAGCTTTAAAATTACAATCTAGAACTTCAAAAAATAATTCTAGTATAAGCGGCATTACTGAAAAAATTTTCTTGTATAGAGCAGCGAGTAGATTTGGCTAGGCGGGCCCACTCAAAAAGTGGGTTGAGGCATGGGAAATACAACTCCACTTTCTTCGAGGCATGGGAAATAATCGACCCGGATAGACTGAGCCAAGCTCGCGAGGTAGACCCGGAAATGAAGAGCTGCCGCTTTTGGCAACGATTTCTATTGTCAAACACGCCAGCAAGGGGTGGGGGTGGATCTGGGCCTGGGCCTGGGCTGAGGAGGGCTGAGTAGGGAGTAGGTCGTGGGTAGTGGGTAGTGGGTAGTGGGCAGTGGAGAGGAGCAGTCCTCCCTCCCTACAAGTTCTGGTAGAATATTGTAGAATAATGGAAAGAAATTGATTGATGAACGATTACGCTTCGACTACCTACTACTACTACGTATATAACACAACCAGGGAGGAACGAAAGGAGGACAAAGTCAGAAGTCAGGAGTCAGGAGGCCTGTCATACCACCAGCTACTACTAGCTACCCAGTAGTACGACCGCGTCACGAGGTACCGGTACCGGTACCGGTACCGTCCGTCTCAACTTTGGGCTCCCAATCCCATCCGAACCCCCATCGATCGCCTCCATCATCTAGTCGTACCTACCGGTACGGTATGCCCATCACATCTGTCTGTATCCACTTTGCTTTGACCTACCACTACTTACGGTACGGGTGGTGAAATAGTAGTAGGTAAAATACTACCACTTGTGGAAGAAAAAAAAAACAGTCACGATTTACTCGTACCTGGCCGAGTCCAGCCTAGCCTAGCCTAGCCGTGCCTAGCCTTGCCTAGTCTTGCCTAGCCTCACTCCAAGTACATATTAGCCTCACTCCAAGTACTTATTTAACCTAACTGTATTGGCTACCCCATAATTATTGGCTTTTATTACCCACCCTCCCATCCCCACCCCCTAACTCCGTCTCTGAAAATCAATCGTCTCGCTCGAACCCAACCAACCCGACCCCCCCCCCGACCCCCCCCCGACCCCCCGACCCCCCAGAACCCACCCCCGTCCACCCCCGACCCCCCCCCCCCGACCTGGCCGCTGTCCGGACGTTCTTACCAAATCACCGACCGGACCCCAACGCTAACACAACGCCATCCCAAATCTCCCTCGCTCGTTTTCATCTCACCCTCTCTTACCCGCTCGCTCTTCATCATCGCGCAATCCTCCCTCCTCACCCTCACCCTCACCCTCACCCTCCCCCTCCTCCCACTCCTACTCCCACTCCCACTCTGCAGTGCCTCCCCCCCCCTCCTTCGAATACATACATAGGCAGACGGCCACACTTGGCCCGCCGCAGACGAGAACGGATAATGGTTGCGGGCGAACTGTTGATCACGACCGAATCGACCAGCACGAACTCGAAAACCCGTCCCCATCCCCCACGGCGATTTCTCGTCACGACGCTCATTTGAGAAGATTGCGCTGCCAACTATCACGCCTCGATCGCTATCATAATCTCCGCACAGTGAGTGCGCTCATGCTCATACTCGCTCCCCATCACACCTCGAAGGATGGCTCTCCGAAGACGCTTTGTTTGCTCCCTGCGTTGGGTGGGTGACACTCGGCGCGGCCTGCGGTGCTGCGAAAAAGGCTGGCCGCTGCGATGTTGCTCATTCCTGCCTACGAGCGCGTCTAGAGCCCCCCCCCGAGCATCTCTTCCCCCCCCCCCCCATGATCTCGTTTGTTTTCGAAGGACACTTGCTGACTTCACTCTCGACAGACCATTTGACATTTTTGTCAAGTACACTCGTTACATAGCATCTACGTTTACAGTAGGTGGCTCCTCGGCCGCTGGCAATCCTGTCCACTGACTCCATCCCGTCTAGATTTTATACCTTACTTTCCTACATTCCCCAGACTCTTCCAACACATACCAACGCGAATATCTATACCAATTGCCACGATGCATACACCGACGCTACTAGTTTCCTCCGCGGCTGTGCTCTCAACTTTCGCCGCCGCAGTGCCCCAACGGCCTAAATTTTATTTCCCCAGACAGATCAAGAGACAATATGAGAACGGGACGATACCGTCTGTATCGCAAAAGACGAGCCAAGATATCGTCATCACCTCGTCTTCCTCCATGTCAAGACCGTCGATGTCCGATGTCCTGCCTACGATCACGCAAGATCCTAGTATTTACGACCCGAAAGTACCCTCGACTACCGTCGATCCCAAGACCCCAAAGTCGGAGAAGAAGTCAACCCAACCACCAGTTTATATGCCGGAACCCACCACAAGCCAGGGATTCGTGGGCTTCGTTACCACATCGACGGAGCCTGAAGTGTCGCTCACGGAGAGCCTTCCGAAGACGACTTTTCAACCTACTCAGAGCCCACCACGGAAGCCGGCATCTTCTTCTAAGGGTACTTCTTCAGATTCTCGGCCGACTTACGGTCCGCCGCCGCCCCCGCCGCCCCCGCCTCCGGAGACTGCTGTTCGGTCTACTTACAGCCCATCGCCAGAGCCGTCGATTTCCTCATCCGGAGGTCTGCCAAAGAGCATTGTT